AGAAGGCAGGAACTGACATTTGTCTACTTTGTGCAGCGGGCGGAGAATCAGGTGAATGGGCTCCAGTTTGACGAGGAGTAGATTTTGCGTCATCAGCACCTTGTGCAACAGGTGCAGATTCGGATGGTATTACTCGTTTCGGGCGTCCTCTTTTCTTTAAGGGAACCACTGGAGTTACACGAGCTGAGTTTTGAAACTTATTTCGATCTTGATATGGATTCAATGCTGAAACGTGATACTTGCCGAGAATTTTGTCTGGTTCATGAGGATCGGCAAGATCATAAGTGGTTGGAGATCTTGTAGTCACTATCACATAAGGACCATCTCTCTTGGGCATGAATTTAGCAGTTTTCTTCAGTGGACCTTTGCTGATTGGATGGAGGGTGACCCAAACTTTATCTCCAGGAACGAATTTCGGTGTTTCTCTTCGTTTTCTGTCAGCATAACGTTTCTGTTTATCTTGATGCAATTCGACTCTTTTCTCGTACCTGTTGTGTACATTTCTTGCAAAACGTTTCAAATATGGAGTAATTTCGGGAAAAAATTATCGTTCTCAATTACGGCTTTTATATCATGCTTTACATCATCTAAGGTTCGTAACTCTCGTGCAAATTGAAGAAAAGAAGCAGAATGTCCAGTTGAATCACATTTGGCTGTATTCAAAGCAAACCTTATTAATGGCAGTTTATCCTTCCATGATTGATGGTCGTTACCAACAAGTATTGCTAAACGTGGTTTCAGATCTCTATTCTTCTTTTTCAACTGGGTTAGATTGTGGGTGATAGACAGGAGTAAAGACTTTGATCAATGTTTCAAAGATATAGCATAGTTGTTGCATAACAAGCACTAGTAAAAAACTGGGCACCATTATAACTTATTATTTTCCTGGGTATCCCAAATCGAAGGGCGACTTTCTTCCAAAAGAATAGTGGCACATTCTCTGGCCTTGGATTCCTTTAAAAATCCAAATAGTTGGTCACTTCGTAGCACAGTCCGCACAAAAAAAAATCCATTTTCACCAGACGGTGTTCAGAAGAAGGGACCGAAAAGATCAATTGACAAGGTCTTCAAAACGTTGAGCATAGGACTGGAGTTTGAAGTAAGCCAGATGGCTTTTGATTAGTGGTTTCTCCCCCTACTTTGAAGACAGTGTGATATTGTTAAGCAATGCATCAGTTGCAAGCCGTTGGGCTGTAGTTATAATTGCTGTTCTTCATTTTCTCGTAGTCGGTGGTAGTCGTTTACACAACAACTGGGTTTCTTCCAGTACTTGGGGATTGATGAGGTTCACGAAGCTATATTTTCTTCGAGGGTCATCAGAAAAGTTCCACTTATTTCAGCAAGATTTAAAACAATTGTACTTTTGAAGAAGAAAGTCAGTCCTAACAAAGTCGAGTGTATTTCTTGGCATCAGGCAACACAAGGAGCGGAGTTTTGAACTCTCTGCCTCGAGAAAATGATTTTCGGTGCGAGTACCTCTTTTTCAGATACCAAACCATCAGCGAAAAGACACTGTAGTGTTGTCTTTTCAAATACTGCATCTTGTTTTTGCAGAATATGATAGAGGGGATTCACTTGCAATTGAGTGACTAGCACCAGTGTCGGCGAAAGCTGTACCGACGGACACCACCAATACTAATTCGAATACAGCAGTCCGAGTGGAGATAAACAGGATAGATTTGGATAGTGCCAAAATTTGATGAATTTGAACTCTTTGGGGGGTTACAGTCTGAACATTTAGACTTGATATAAACCAGTTTTTCCGCACCCATAGCATGTTAAAGGAGGTCGCTTTTCCTCTGTTTGTTGCTGACTACGATTTTAAAAGGTTTTATGAGTTCCCTGTATATCACTTGTTCGATTTTCTACTTTGTGTTTGGATGGATTAGCCGGTTTTAAGAATAGTTCCGCCTGCCAGGAGTTGAGTTTTATAGTTCGTATTTTAAACACGTACAGCTTCAATAATCATCCAATTTCTGTACTAATTCAGATGAACTCTTTATTTTTCCCCAAGTATCAATAAAATGCTCCTTAACGTCACTACTGACTCTTCTTTTAAGCTGATCCGTCAGGACCAAGTCTTTGAGTGATTCAAAGTCTGTAACATCGAGACTATGGAGCCACTCTTCGAGATAATTGCTTATCGTAAGTAAAATCTTTCCATAAAGACCCAGGGTGTTTTGGTGTGTAGTAAGTTAATTCGAAATGATTCAGCATTTAATTTGAATTTGTAGCAGAATCTTCTTGATGTGAGAATAATCTTAACTTGTCTTTGGTTCTCTTAAATAATTTGCGAAATGTCTATAGCAGAAGAGGTAGGAGATGAGTGATGTATCTATTGTTGTTTATATTAACTTTCTCGCATTGTCTTTCAAAAATTTGCAGATAGGTTGCAATGTCAGAAGTTCTTGTAAATTTAGGGATTAGGTGTTGAATATTTGTTCCAATAGCTGCATTTGAAGCAAAGGCGGCATAGCCAGGATTTGAGCTAAGCAGCTGCCAGGTTAATTTTAAACGTTCCAATTCTAAAAAAGTTCTTGTTCTTTTCTTTGACGTGTCTCCAGATCGTTGCTTTCACGTTGTTTTTGTTGTCTAGTTTCGATTAAAGTTTCCAGAAGATTCCTGGTAAAAATCCTCATCATAAGTGTCAGAATGACAATAAGATCTTTAAGATCTATTACTCGCATAGTGTCGTTTACAGTGAAACCCAGTTCTGCAGCGAGAGTTTTTTAAATCCTCTTTTCGTGCTTTGGCAAGGTAAGCCATAATATATGAGAGATCAGGGGGGAGGGAAAAGATGAAGTGAATTTGTTGTTATTTCGATTTTATTCACAATACAGTATTTTAGAATTAATAATATATACCTTTAAGTAAAATGTATATACCCCTATTAAACAGCATGTATGAAATGTAAAACAATTACTCGTACATTTATATACCACTATAAACAGTATTTATAAATGTAAACTAATACTCACAAAGTTTATTATTTCGGAGTCGTTAAACATATCATAAAATGCCCTCATAAATTAAACTTGTATCAAGAAAATAACATATAATAAATTGCTCAAAAATGTTTACTACTAGCAAAACATACAAAACATACATAATGTCTTACCATAAGCTTTTATATTTAAGCTGAATTCTTCGAAATCTAATCTTAACAAAATATTAAGCTGATTAAGCAACACACACTTAGTAACTCTTTACTTTATTTAAATAGTCATTCGATTTATCATCAATTATGTTCTTTCGCTTCAAGAAATATTTTCAAGACATGCATTCATAAAGGAAAACAATCGTATTTTCTTAAAGTTATACTATAATCATTTCTCAAAATGTTCGTCGAAAGATAAATCAACAAGTACAATATTTATTTTGTAGAATAAAACATTTAATAAGGAACAACAGCACTCAAAGGAAATAAAAAAATATAAAAGATTGACGTAAAAATCATCATAAATCATCGCTAGTCTAAACATTTCGCGGGGGGGAAACATCTGCTGCTGTATGTCAGAAGCGAAACTAATAAATTCTAATGAACAACGTCCAATATATATTCAAACTTAACATCAAAACATGTATTCAGTTGGAAACCATTTATTCACAAATTAATTTACTATGCGCATTAACATTTAAAAAACAAATTACAATTCAAGAAAACGTTGGTTAACAGAAAGCCGTTTGCTTTCGTTTAATACTCTTATGTATATAATAAATGAGATTCAGGAAAGAATTACATTTGCTTAAGAAGCAACTTATAATAATAATCAGTTAAAAGAACTTAAACTCAGATTAAACGATAATGTAAACGAAACTTATCTTTTCGTTGAAATTGTCCAGTTGATGATTCATGTGGCAGCACACGGTAATTTTTGCCAGAATTGTTTTCCAGATATTTGACCAGTAGTCCCACCTGAAAAAAACTGGCCGATTCCCAATTAAAATTAAATTCGGAGTAAGAGCTTGTAAGCCAACAAAATCTCTAACATTTTGTTGCGCCATTTGGATTCAAATTTAGTTGGGCGCCAATGTGATGTAGCCGTCCTCAATAGACACAATCCGGCTAGCTTAAAGGATTTATTAACAAGTCACACAGGAACGGTTTACAAACAAAAGAAATATACAAAAAATGACATAAACGAATGGAACATCAAATTGAGAATAACATAGCATATAAGCTATCATCATGGGGCTGGAGGTCGACTGAGTTTTTTCATATCGCCACGAGATGGCGTTTAAATAAAATAGTTCGGTACAGTTTTGAGTTCATGGCGTGAATAAAATAGTTCAGTTACACTTAAATAGGTCTGTTACAAATGAAAATTAAAAAAATTCCTCACGAATGGAATTTAAGGTCCAAAACAACTGTTGCAATTTATTGAAGATTATAACAAAGTGCATAAACCATATTTGGCATTATTATTGCTTATAATAAATATACCAAATTTTAAAACGTTTCATTGTATAAATTATTTGGGAACTTTTGATTAAAAAACTTAATTTTTTGCAGGTATGCCTAGAAATACATCTACATTAAGATGATAACAAAAATGTTATAGGTTATGATTCTAAATCTTTCAAAAAATTTATAAAAGTTATTTAAAAAATAAATTAAAAAATTTGCAGATTTTATATTGAACCTTAATTTCAAATTCTGGAAGAAGAAACTACCCTCGTGATTTTTTATGGAACTTGCCATAATTTTAGGCATAGAATCGGAAATATGGGGGAGGGGAATTAATTGGTGTTTCATTTCAGGATCGAATTTTGTGTCAAAATAGAACAATGTTATATATAAATCTATCTTAAGTTGTGCTTCAAGACGTGAAAAACGCAAGCTGAATTTTGTCAATTGACCCAGCAGAATGGGAGATATAAAACTATCCCTTTTACATCATTAAGTATTATCATGTGATGAACTTGAGGATTCAGTCCATAAGCCCATTAAAGTATATTATTATTTGCTTATTCTAATTACTTTACATCTACCTTTACAGCTGAAACAACTGAACCAGCTGCAGTTGGAGGAGCTGATGATGAAGAAGAAATTAAGGATGCGGTCCCTATAGATGAAAATTTATTTGAATAATCAGAGATTAGAAAAAGAACGAGAACTCTTAAGTGGATTGAGTTGGCACCTTTAATCATTGTCATGTTTTAATGGCCTTGGGTTAAATTTGTACAGTTTATTTAATATCAAGTGCATGGTTTTTATCTATTTAAACTTAATGTATTAAAGCAAAATATTTTGTTTTGTCTGACAATGCATTTTTGTTTTTTCAATATTATGTAGTTGTGAAAAAAAGCTCAGATAATTTAGTTATTTTAAAACCATTGCCCAGTTATTTTTGTGATGTGTGCAACATCAGTGATTATCACAGCCTGTCATAATGCAATGGCTATATCTCTTCAATAAATGTGCATTTTTGAACTGTGATGCAACTTGCAGTGTATCTTTGCACATGGTTGATCTAAAATTAACAAAAAATTATGTTTCTTCAAGATGTACCCATAGCTCTTTTTTGTATTAGCTCATGCGCTTTTAAGAAAACTATCTTCAGTTTTTTTTTTTTTTTTAATGTTCAGCATTTCAAGTGTTTGAAACATCTGATAATTAATTAAGATTTTTCAACCTCTAAACAAACTGCTAGATATAAAAGAATGATTTGCTTTCCTTTTGAATAATATTATTGCAAAATGAAATAATTTTCTATCTGTAAAACAAAACACTAAGTATACCTTTTTTTGACTAAATTTAAAATAAAATTCATTTGCCTAAATCCATTTCTACTGAAATAATAGACTGAAATTAATTTTATTTATGTAGTCGTAAAAACTGAACATATATGTTGTTTTGATTTATTTACCTAAATTTTTTTCTTTTTGTGTTTAGATTGAAACAATATTTTTCTCTATTTTCTAATATTTCTAATTTTTTTAACTAAATTTAGTTTTTTTTTAAAACTTTTTATTTTATTCTTCTTCAGCTAGTCTATATATTTGATAAAAAAATTAATGATCAAGTGCATATCTCTTGCTCACTTTTTATAATAAGCTTCCTAAAAGTATACTTTGTTACATTTTCTTTTTATACTATTTATTTCAAAAAAGGAAGTTTAAACAAGTTAACTACAGGCATAATTTTATTTGGCTGAAAAAAATCAACTGATTTAGGTAATTGAAATTCTAGGTATTTAGAATCTAATGAATGGAATTCTGCCGTACATACCTCTTTTGAGTTCTGCTTAGAAAATTTCAGTATTTTTATAATGAATCTAGTAGAGACTATAATTATATTAAAAAAATAATCAAATGGATTTTATACCACATAATTTTTTTTCATTCGAGAATTTTTGAAGTTTGATATTCAAATAGATACAGGATAAAAATGGAAATAGATTGAAAAGAGAGAGAAAATCAATAATTTTGACATTCATATATTTCTGAGAGTGTTTATAGTTCACTTTTCTTAAGCTATGCTGAAGCTGTCATTATTTATTACCAACCTGGTTTTAATAGGAAAATGTTGATTAGTTATCGATATATCAATCATATTTATTAAAATAAAAAATTTAGTCTTCAGTGGATTTGCTAGTATTGCATTTAAGGATTTTTTTTTTTTTTTTTTTAAATTAAATTTCAAAGAAATTTTCTGAAGCTTACTTCATTTTCTGCAAAATATTAGCCATACACTTAGAAAGAATTCTGTTTTTAATGTTGTGGTAAAGGATAATTGAGAAATTAAAGTTAATTTTTATGTATAATAATTTTAATAAGACTATTCATTACATAAAATGTATGAGGATTTATTTTAAAATTTCTCTTATATGAGCATTGTAGTAATCCTTTTACCTTCTCCTTAATTTTAATTTTCAAATATATGTGTATCTGAAAATAAAATATAATTATTTTGATATAGTACCTCATTAATTCAAGGTGTAATATTACAGCATGATAGAAGGATGAAACATCATAAAACTAAGTTATATAATGATTGTATGTCCCACTTGAAAATTGCAAAATACCATATTTTCATGACTAATTCCCCCCTTTTTTCCCCAATATGTAATTTATAAACTTCTGGTGTAGGGTAACAATGTAAAATGTACCCATAAATAAATAGAAAAGTAAAAAAAAAAAAAAAAGTTACTGAAATTGGTAAGTCTTTTGAAATATTAGTGTGTCTTTACGTATGTTTTTTAATATACTATAATTTATCATTTAAGCCATCTCTCCAGAAATAGTATATATTGTTTTGTTTATTTTCTCCCTTCTGATTTTCAAGCTGTTAAATTAGTAAGAGGGAAAAGTGTATGAGTAAATGCAGTAATATAGTTCTAAAATCTTTCACTGACAATACTTTAGAAAAATACATCCAAACTTTCAAGAAATTCCATTACTGAAGTGGATGAATTCTTACATAAGAATGTACTTGAAGTGTAAAGAGCTAAAAGCAATTCTTTTAGAAAATTAAGTATTCTAACAACAATATAAAATTATAAATATTCATTTCCAGAATTCAGAGTAAATATTCATTGCAGACAGGCCAGACTGTCACGTCAAGCATAATTATCAGAATGAAAATACAGTAAAATCCTTTCTGATGACCATTGCTGAAAGTAACCATTGTTTCTGAGAATATGAATAAATATTATTATCAATAAGTGTATTATTTTTATGTAAGATGATATCTTCTTAATCTGACTGTGACAATAAAATATGAAACCATGAAGCAGAGGACTGTCTTCGAAAGTGATTAGTATTTCTGTGAATATATGAATGTTGGTACTGAATATCACTGATGTCGTGTGAAAGAAGCATATAATGTAAAAAAAAGTCTGGAACTGTTAAGTATTAAGAGAAATTTCATTGTATTTATTAAGACAACTGCTAAAATATCTGATTTAGTATAAATCTAAAATAATGTATTATGCCTTAATCCAGTGTTCCCCAAACTTTTTATCAACGTTTGATTATTTTACAGCAGCCCACTGGGGGGATTTTGATTGTTTATATTTTAGATTATTTTGATTTATTAATTTTAATTTAATTGTGTTTAAATATGCCTTCAAAATAAAATACAGTTACACCAAAAAATAAAGTGATTTAACATTTTAACTTAACAAGAACATTAAATCAATGAAAACCCTGAGCTTGTTTCTTTGCAATGAGTCGGTTCCGAGTTGTTGTCTCGAACGTAGTTTTTAAGGCTGCCATCATTTGCAATCTCCAGCAGTTGATCTTCTTGCACAGACATGCAAGATTTACCTGATTTGTTGACAAATGGCTCTCAGATCCATTCTTTACTAGTTCATGGGTATTTTGTGGTTGGGAAGTAGCGCTCGAACTCTTTTAAAAGCAAAGACAGGTGATCGTATTGGTTTAGTTTGGTTTATTTTAATTATGGCAAAGCACACTAGGGCAATCTGCCTAAGGGAAGGGATGCCTTTGTGGAGGACTTTCTAAGGGAAACTTGCTCGTATACACGCTACACATGGGGAAAACCACGAAAACGTCCATGCAGTCAGCCAGCCCGTTTACGGGATTCGAATCTCGGACCGAACTACTAGTATTCAGCGACTTTACCGCTCGGCCGCTGGTAGGCCAGGTGATTGTATATCAACTGGAAGAATGAATGTTCAGACTTGGTCTCGACTAAAATCCCAGCTAATGTCTGAAACATGTCGAAAATGCCTTTGTTCACGCGCCGTCCCCACAACTCCAGTTCGTGTTCCTATTTTTTTCTTTCAAAATATTCCAGGGACTTGTCTTTTAATCCAGGGTGTTTGGCGTTCAAGTGGCGAAGCAGTTTTGAAGGTTTCATTGTGTCATTAGAGAGCTGGTTGCCGCAAACTATGCAGAGCGGTTTTGGCTTGTGAGAATCACCTGTTCCGATAAAACCATATTTCAAGTAGGACTCATGGTATTGTCTGTTAAAAGTTACATGTTTCTTTGATGTTGAAGGCTCTTCTGCTTCTTCACTGAACCTTTTCTTTTTCCCAAGGAAACCTTCTGATGACCTCTGTTTCGTATTCAATTTTGCTAATTTGTAGGTTAAATTTAAGTAAACACAATACACACATACACCAAGCACTGTTAAACATGAGAACGTACCAGTGAACAGAGAGAAGAGCGATACTCACCAACTCTTGAGCGGCGAGAACAATTCATTTCAGATAATCCACTCATTTTAATTGCAGAACAAACTAAATCATTTTAAACAAAACTGCATAAAGCACACAAAACAGTAGAGAGGAATCATGGTCACGTGGACTTTGGGCGACTAAATGGCAGATGAGTTAACTTCTCTTTATAGAAGCCTTAATACACTCTAGCTGTGTGTGATGTCACGATTGAGAGAGAAGACGAGGAAGTTCTTCATTAGTTCCAATGTAAATTTTGCACTTTCGTGTTTTATTTATGATATTTACAGTTACGATGATTGATTTCTTTTATTAAAACTAACTGAAAGAGAAAATAGTTGCGGTGGTTTTCTTTTTTTAACTTTTTAAAACATTAAAAAAATTATGTCACTACCTTCGGCGGCCCCTTTTTTTAAATAACTAAAATTTAATGAAACACAGAAGTTTTTAATTTGAGGGTATAAACTTAGGAATTTAAATTCAGTTTCAATGAAATGGGCGGCTAGCGGCCCGGTATCATTTGATCCACAGACCGGGGTTGGGGACTACTGCCTTAGTCAATTCAAAGAATAGTATAGTTTCATTTGCAATTTTTAAGAGTTAACATTTCTAAACCCAATAATTGTACTTCTTTTTGCAATGTAGTGTAATTTGTTATACAAAATGGACTAGTTGTTATTGATACAGTACTTCACAATTGACTTATCACAGTCTTATACATTACTGTGTTTAGGGAGGAGCTGAGGGGACTGCAGCCGCCTGAAACTGAAGTTTATATATAGAATACAGTTACAAAAACATCAATCTTTGATAAAACTGACATCCTAGCTACAGCCATGGTTTTGTATAATTTATATCGTACTGTGAGCCTTATGATTTACGGTCTAGGCAGCTTGTTTCATGCAGCAGAATCAGTATTCAGATGGTGCCAAAATTCATTAACATT